TGGTTGCATCAACGTAAGATTAACTTCAGCCTCAGTTTACCTTACTATTTATCTTTTTCTTAAAAGTCTTAGAATTAGAAAAAGATAGGAGTAAATTGAACCAAAAATAAAGTTAATCTTATTGATGGGACCAGATCTAATTATACAAAATCACAATGCCCTCCGAAATTCGAATTCTGCTACAGTAGATTAACTTCAAGCCAGATTCAACTTATTCTTCATTTTTTTTTCAATTTTTAAAACTAGAAAAAGATAGAAAATTATAAATTATTAAATTGAGATTAAAGTTAATCTACTTTGGTAAAAATGGATAAAATTCATGTTTGAAAGATTTGAAGTCTGTGCCATAATAAATGCTCCCGACATCTACCACAAGTGTTTATAACTAACGTAGTGAGCGTCTGCTAGAGCACCTCGTGCTCCTCCCGGTAAACTCACCGATCACTTTAAAATCGCCGAATTGCGCGCAGCTTCTGGCGTAATTATATTGATCGCAGGTCGACTTATATAATGAAGCAGCTTTCTCCGTATCCAATTTTATCGCATCGTAAAAATCGCCCAACAAGTGACATACTGTTTTCCAAGCAAAAGATTATTTTTCTTAATCGCGAGGTTAGACTGTAGCTTACCCTCTTCACTCACCCTCCGGATTTTTCTCGCTGTAACAGCCGAATTGATATTCTATGTGAAGGTTCTTCAAGTACTCCTTCACTTCCTCCTCGTTCTTCAAATTATATGCCATTTTTTTACTTCACGTCGAACCTGCAATCACATGACAAGAAGGTATCCGCCATATCTGGAAAGTGGAATTCGATGGTGGAAGGAAAAAAAAGGAAGTCAAGTCTGTTCGTTATCGAGACGAATTTGATACGATTCTGCGCAGATTCCAAATGAGGCCATTTAAATATTTGCGCCGCGGTAAATTTGAAATGGCAACTCGAGAGACCAAAATGAGTACTTGTCAAATAAAAACATGTAAAAATGATCATTGAAAGAAGAATTCAAAAATATACCATATCTTTACTAAACGTAATTACTAGACAATTTTTTACTACCTTTATTTTTATTATAAGAGGAAAGCCCCCTATTATGAGATAGGCGCCTAATATGAGATAGCGGCGTTTCTGCTAAACTAATAAACGCTATCTATTGATTCCACCATGAATTTATTGCTCTTGGATTGAAAACTATTTAGTAGAAAATTCATTATTATATCATGTCTGTAGTCATTGTAAAAAAAGATTTTAGAATTTGGATATCTTCAAGTTTTATTTAGATAAGCCTTTAAATCTTGTTTATTATTTAATAAATAAATATTTAGCAATAAATTCTTCATGTAGTGATAGAACAAGGTCGTACTAATAGAAAAATACGGGATATGTTGAATTGTTTAATTACAGAAGTTAGATTTGATGATCATAAAACCATAAGGCGAGGAAATCGTAATATGAGATACCCAGAGTATTTATAATATGAAATAACCATGCTCCTATGTTATAGTGAAAATTGTTGCTAAAGAGTAAGTGTTATTGTACTATAATAAAAAAGACAACCGGAATGAACGTCGAGTGCCTATTTCTGTGTTGTTTGATTCCAACTACCTGAAGACGAGTTTTGGGTATTATCTATCGCATGCTCATTTTTCACGCACACTGGCTGTTTGTTTGCATTTTAAAAACATGAAATAAAGTTTTTTAATTGCAATACTGATATATTTTGCGTTTTGCTATTGATTTCTCGGAGCATCTCATATTAGGAGCACAATTTTTTTACTTAATTGTGATTTACTCACTTTTTACATTTCTTCAATTTAAAAAAAATGGAATTTGAATTAAATTTTATATAACATTATCTTAAAACTTATTAAATTCCCTTCAAAATGACCTATTATTTTTTTAAGTTCTGCCCATAGACTTCTGGCATTTATCAAAAATGAACTCGGTATCTCACAATAGGGGCCTTTCTTCTAATAATTAAAACAGCTTTCAATCTTTAAAATACAAGAAAAAAATTAACAACTGTATTAGGGCTAATGAGAGTCATTGCAGATAATCAAATGCAAGCTTTAAAGATTAAAAAATCTACAAAACTTATGCTTGATTATCTGCGTTGACTCTTATTGATCCTGTTGTTTGTTGTTTTTTTTTGTGTTTTAAATAAGTAATAATTTGAAAAATATAAGAACTCGCAATTTACGAGTAAGTTACCCTCCCGAATATCCAGTTTACTTTTTAAAAATTTAGATTGGTGTTACACATCAACTTACCTCGTATACAGACTCTTTTTTTTCTTCTGGCTAGATTGAACTCACCTTTCGTTGTTCCTGGCCAATATTTTAACTTCGTATGCCAGAAATCGGCAATAAGGAGAAATACTCCTTTTGCTGCTGACTGCTGCCGGATATCATCGCCGGCAATAAGCGCAAGATTTTACGCTTTCGTACGATGCACGAATGCATCGCGAAGGGGCCATAATTATATCAATGAAATTAAGTAAATATTAATATGAACAGTTATTAATTAATATACGAATAAATGTCGCGTTTATTCTCTATTCGCGTATATTCAAAATTAAAAATATAAGTATTCAATTAAAAAATATATCTAAATTAAAAAATCTTCGCGTCAACAACATTTTGATTTTAAGAGTCTTTAAGAGTTAATTTAACGTGGCTGTAAGGTATCTCTTCGTTGTTATGCCCGCTTGGGTATGTGTCAGGAATATTTGAACGGATTTAGAGGTAATCTCTTTTAGGAGATAGACCACTGAATATATATATTTGTATATGAGTGTCTTTATTCTTATTCACTTCCAACAATTGTTTGTCACAGGTACTGCGACCGAATATACTATATATATCAACTGAAATATTAACTAAATTAATTAAAACTACTTTAGTAATCGCGAATTAATTTGGTAATATTTTTCGCAATAAATTTATTAACAGTTTTAATATATTAACATTTTTATAATATATGATGCTTGATGGTAACATCAAATTATGAAATTGCTTGTCAATTTAATTCGCGATTACTAGGGTAATTTTAATTGCGTTTATTTAGTCCGGAAAAACAATTCGGCGCGCAGTTTGTGTGTGAAAAAGACTACAATATGGTATATATGTAAGTACATATATAGTATATATTAGTAATTCAAGATTGAATTATTTAAAGCAACGAAGATCCAGTTTCGACCGTAAGAGACGTTCAAATTTCTAGTATTAATAAGTATTTTCAGTTATGCAAAACTCTGAACGCGATGTTAAAATAATTATGAGATAAAATACTTCTATTTCTTGGTATAAGATTATCCGTGTAAGAAGGTATTAATTATTTCAGCCTTGTTTAACATTAGCAAACAGCATGGATATAATGAATTCATATCAATTATAGATATTGGTTTTTATTACTGTATTGATTCTTCCACAAATTAATTATACGAATGCACAGTCAAGAATGACAGATTTTTGCATCAAGATCATGATCAAAAATTAAAAATCTTTCAAACAGAACAATCGCTTTAACATTGGCGATAATGTAAAAATAAATCATAAATTATATATGATTTATTAGTGTTATATTTTATTCTTATGATTCATATGCGATTGAAAGAGACTATCGTATGTCGAAACTAGTTTTGTTAATTTTAATATATTGGATCCTCATATGTTTTACAGTATTATTCGCTTATTAGCCAAATAAAAAGTATATAGTCACATTTTACAAAGCTATTCTGTAATCACTTTATTTTATCAAGACAGGGGGATGCAGAGAGAATCGAGGGAGAATGGAGCGAACTCAATAAACTCGATGTCGAATCAATATCGATTCGTCGTCGATTTGATAATTTCGACGTCGAATCGACATGTAAATTTTTAAATGGCTACAAAAATGTATCAAAAAATGTTTAAAAATTTTCTAGAGTGTCACTATATGCACTAAAAGTATGATATGTTATTAACAGTTTGATAGCAGAATATATTGAACATATTCTCCGTTAGACCACCGAGGCCTTAGTAATGTTTGCAATAATCAATATATGTAAGAACGTCTTTTTCAAGCGACGTAAATAAACAATATTTACTTCTATTGTTGATTGAAAGCCGTTTTATCTGATTAAATTAAAAATGCTATCATTTTCCTCTCTTGTTATGCATCGTTCTGCACCGAGATATGTGCACAGATAATCTATAATAAATAAACGTTAAATTCGACACGTATATCTATTTACATACATTTATACAAATATACATTATATTTTATTTATACATATTTATACATTTATACATATTTATACATATTTACATATATGTATCAAACTTCTGTTATTTAACTTTTTTCTTGTTGCTATGCGATTCTCCTATAAAATGAAGTATCTAATTTAATATATCTTATTGCCAATATTGTATTATATAATATTATATTTCTGACCTGAACAAATGCCAGGTCCTATTTCGTCAGAAAAAAAGAGGCGAAATAATTGCTTACTTTAATGCGGGATTTAGCGGGATTGAAATATCCAGGCTATGCAATATCCACGTAAGACATATTACCTTAATAAGCATAGTTAGGTAGTAACTAGTTAAAAAGTTAAAAATAAATAATATTTAATGTTATTATATAAATAGATAATAATGTTAAAAATTTAATAAAACGTTTAACTTAACTTAGTTGGTTTTAAATGAGTTAATTTTTCATTTTAGCTAGTTATTTATTCAACTATGTGAAAGCAAAAAATTATAAAGGAAAAAGACGATTCCACATAAAAACAATTTTTATATTTCAAATAAATATTTCTTTGTTATTTCACATATAAACTTAATTTACAGAACAGTCAGGATTCTGTTAACCAGAAAAATTTTCTTTAATGAGATGTACTTTATTGTAGAAAACGGTAGCGTAATAATCAATTTTATACTCATTAGTTCGTTGTACTTGACAAATCGTATATATTTTTGTACATAGGTACTTATGTATATTATAGGCGAACAAAATATATCATTTATTTCGAGTAAATGTTTATTCGTCTCCACACCTTCAACGCTTAGCTTGATCCTACTCCTTTTTAATTCCTGTTGTAGCAGATGTCCGGCTTGTCCGCTGTCAAATGTCGACAGATCAGTTTGCGGAAGCTTCTTATCGCCTCATCTTGATTTTCCTTCGAGTATACCTGCGATAATTATAATGATTTTCTATAAACCATTTAAAACCGTGCCCTAAGAAAAAAGTGTTTGATATTTGATTATAATTGTACGGTAAAATAATTATGATGAGCTCCATTTTTATGTCCAGATAGCAAAATGCTAGTAGTTTGCTGGCAGATTGACAACAAATTCGATCAGATTCACACAGCTATTCATAGCCTATGTCCGCATTAATCTCAGAATCTGTCGACAGAGCTGCTGACATGCTGTGCTAGCAGATTGGTACCAAAAAGCTAGAGCTGCAAATCTTGCTCAGTTTCTGTCGCCAATCTACTGGCAAAGTATGTCATTAGACTTTGTCCTATTATTTGGCGGTAATATCTGTTGACATCATCAGATATTACAGATATTAGATACTCTGTGCGAAATTTGCTTTTCTGCTATCAAAAATTTGTAGCATACCTTGCTCAAAATCTATCTCTGCAGACTTGGCTATCTGGCTTAATAGAATGTTGTAATGTTAGTAATAATAATTATATAATTTTAGTAAAAAAATATACATGTATAAATAAAAGATATGTATAACTGGTATCGAAAATAACTACAAATTGTAGTTAAATTAAGGTAAATGCAACTTTTTTTCTTTCAGTGTGCTATTTTACAATTAGTCATTGCAAATTTAACGAGATTCTACGCTTACCCCATTGATCACTATCGTCGGCAATCTCAAAGGTGATTGCAGGGCCTTCGTTTTGTCGCCATTCGCTGCAAGCAAATCGTCTGCCAGTTCGCTCGCGATGCAATTCTTCATCAACTTTCGCGTTTCTTTACTTAGGTTGACTTTGGGAATGTACTAAAATTCATTTATCGCGTTATTATAGTCATGTTAAAGCATGTTCGTGTTATGTTATTATCTTATGTTCATGATAAAGGCCTAAACACAATGCGAAGGCAACAGCGATAGCGATAGACACAGCGATTGCGATAGCGATAGTAACAGAGGAATCCAACATACGAGAATCCATATGTTGGATTCCTCTGTTCCTATCACTATCGCTATGTCTATCGCCAACGCTGTTGCCTTCGCATTGTGTTTAGGCCTTAAAGCATGCTTATGTTCATCGTTATTATCTTAACAGATGGCCGTATTTATTCAGCAAGAAATTTTTGCACCGTACATACTTTCGCAGTTTTATGAACGTGACGCGACGTGAAAACATAGCGAAACGAGTCAACAATTATGTTACCTAACCGACAGATATTAAATGCAACGTGTATTCTATGTGTCTACATATTCTTTAATGGAAAATATATGATACGTATTTTTTTATATCGGCTAAAAAACATTTTAAGGGGGCTAAAAAATGTTTTAACATTGTAAAAACTACTATCGCAACGTGTATATTGTATCATTAACTGCAGGCAAAACAAAGAAGTGTATTTTAAAATAATTATTTATTCTAATTTTGAAAATCTGACTCCAAGTTCGTATTAAGCGACCCCAAAAACACCAGTATTCACATTCTTATGGAAATTAAACAATTTCTTGAAAATTCGTCAGCCATATTGGATACGACATTTTGAATTTTAAAATTCTGACTTCAGATTCGTAATCCCCGATACCAAAAACCCCCAGGTAATACATTTCAGCCAATTTTAAATGTATTTTTCAAACATCCAAGCAAGAAGCCCACGGTGACACAATATACACTTTGAGTTACTAAACACTTCTGCACTATTACAGTAGTACAGTAGTGCTGTAGTACAGTAGTGCCTCAAAATACTCCTAGTGCTCAATAGTACTTTTCTACAAGGGCAGTCTGATTTTCCACGCGCGTGGAAGGAATTGTGCCCGAATAAAAACTCCAATGATAATTTAAACTCATTCGAACACTGAAATGTCCCAAGAACAATTAGGACATGATCGAAAAGTAACTTTAATCCTTTGTGGACTTCAAAGGGCTAATAATAATTGTTTTAGAACCATTTTAGCGCCATTTTGATAATTTTATTTTCTGCTTGCGATGCTTTTCAAGTGTCCTTAGGGTGCTGTCCCATGACAGTCGAATTTCGGAAAACGGAATCTCGGAAAAGTACTAGACCGGAAAATACTAGACTAGAATCAGAAGACACGGCAGTGTCTTGGCAAGTTAGCACGCGCAGTG